TAAGTAGGTTATATATGTATAATTGGGGTAACTCCATTTAGGGCACTTATAACTCTATATTTATATAACCTACTTACTAAGTCCCCTGCCCTTCCAAGTAGGATATGAATTGTGGTTCAGGGTCTATATATAGTCTACAAGCTGAAATCCCCGTGGGGGTTGATGGAGCTCTGACTTCTTGGTGTTCTGATAAACTGGCAAATCCTTGAAAGTGTTTTGGCTGGATTGGGGTCGGCCGCTTTCTCAAAGCTCTATACCCCCTAAGCCCTAAACCCCAAAACCCTGCAATGTCCCATGGTCTCACATGTGGCCATGCAAGTCTGATGTTGGGGCAGCATCGACCACTCCTTTTGCCGGCAGCTCGAACACTGCATGGTCATGTCTCGGAGCTCTAAACAGCACGACCAGATCTCCACGCACCGGCAGTTTAGCAAAGCTTTAATTCGTGATGTGTGTGCTAGAGCTACGAAGCATGTATGTGAGTATTGCCTATATAGGAAATCCCGAATTGTCAGGTTCATCGATAGCTGCCGCAGCATAGAATGCCATGGGTTGCCGTCGGAGCAAGCCAACATGCAGCGATCCCGGACAGCACAAAGGATAGTTAGTTCGTAGCTGCTGCTCAATGACTCGATCATTCCAAACTCCGAAGCTGGTGCATGTTTTGTACTGAAGCCGAACTCACCGATCCCAGGTCCACATCGAGGTCGTCGTCCTGACACAGTTGCACCGAACATGCTTGAGCTGCTCCTTGTTGGAATATAGATCTTGCTTTTGAGAGGGATCAGGCACGGAGTTTGTGTAAAGTTGCCGATCATGGGGTCAGCAGCAGTGAACGAGCCGCAGAGAAAACCACAACCGCCGAAAACAAATAATCCCTGCCTCAGGACACGGGTGATATCGTCGCCGCAGTGTTGAACAACAGCCTGGGATGAGCCGGTGCGACTCTTTGCTTATCATGATCAATCAACCCGTCGTATAGTTCTGATTTCTGTCTATTGTTTCCCGAGGAATTTTTAACTCGGTCTTGAGAAGTGCAGGAGTTCAGAGATTGATTGGTGTTTTTAGGTTTTGGAGCTTCAGGGTTTGAGGTTAATAAAGACTATACATGGGGGTTTCCGAAAATTAGGGATACCTTATTTTGGGGTTTTATAATATATATATATATATATATATAGGATCCTATATACTACTTAGGGTACTATATTGGGGTCCTCTACTTTCGGAAACTCCCATATAGGGTCCTGGGCTGGCAACTATATATATAGCTTTGAACCCTCGATGCGAATATGTATCACGTATACTATATAGTATACATGATATAACGATACATATTTGCATCGAAGGTTCAAAGCTTACATAGGGGCTTTGGGTTCTACCCTAAGGGTACTATATTGGGGTCCTCTATTTTCGGAAACTTCCATATAGGGTCCTGGGCTGGCAACTATATAAGCTTTGAACCCTCGATGCAAATATGTATCATGTATACTATGTATAGTATACATGATACAATGATACATATTTGCATCGTTGGTTCAAAGCTTACATAGGGGCTTTGGGTTCTACCCTAATTAGTGATTCTTCTGTTTGAAAAGGCCAAATCTTTGTAATAAGTCAAGAACACTCGATCCTGGGAGGTCCCGCAAGCACCAGAACCCTGTAGTTTTAAAAGCCCGCAGAAGCCCCCGAAGTAAGTCGATCGTGCAATGCCTCGGCCCAAAAGTCCCGGAAAAAAAAACCTAAGCCCACACAAGTCCAGATTAAGCCAAAGCAAGTCTTTCAATTCCCGCAAAACCCTATAAACCCTATAAACCCTATATGAAGAAAGCCTTTAGCTGCAACAGAAGCAAATGTTCTCGGCTCCCACAAGCCCGGCTACGTACCCGACAACCCTAAAGCCCGTAAAAGCCCTATAGGAGTAGTGTGTACATCGATACAGAGAAGCTTCGGAGCACAGCTCGCCCAGAACCGAAGAACCTTGCTGCTTGTGGAGCTCGCTCTCTCTCCAGAAGGCCGGCTTCGTAGTTTGGGGCTTTAGGGTTTTGGGGGGCTTCGGCTGTACATATATTATAATGGGTCTTTGGTCTTTGGGTCCACAAACAAATGCCAATGCCCTAAAACCCGAACCCTACACACGAAATTCCCAAAACCTATACACCAAAAAAATTATCTCTTGAACCCTAAAACCAATGCCTCGATCTTGACGGTTTATACCTGGCTGCCCAATGTCCTTAAGCTGTGCACATGAGTCCTGGACCCCTCCATAGACATCCTAAACTCTCACACACCCAAGAGGGTCAGAGGGTTCGAATCGATCGGCATTAAGCATAAACGGTTGCCTCCCCGCAAAGCGAAAATCGCCAAACCCTGAAAGCCGAAACCGGGGCACTTTTACGAGAACGAAAGCGAGAGAGAGAGAGAGAGACAAAGAGACGGGAGCACGAAGCCAAGTCTCACATCTTCTGCAGGTGATGCTGCACGGCACGGACACCCTGAGGAGATGCTGCATGGTGGACCCAAGACCGGGGTGCTGTCCAGTGCTAGAGGGCTCTGTTCGGGATTGCAAGTTGCTGCTTATCGGGTATGGCTGCAAGGTTTGTATGCATTAAGTTCGGTATCTACTTGCACGCAGGTCTTCATGGTAAGTTCTGTTTGTGGGGGGTCGAGTCAAATATGTTATGTGCTTTTTAGTGGGAATCCTGAATATATATATATATATATATTCTGCTACTGGGACCCAAGTACCGAAACTTCTTCCGTGTGTGTATGCATATACATATATACACACACACATGTGACATACATGTCGGTGTGTGTGTGTGTATATAGAATATATATCAAATATAGTTATCCTGTGATAGTGGATCATACCCCATATATATAATATAGAGAGAGAACATGCATCGTTTACATGGTGTAACATGCATGTATATATATTTATATATATATATATATGTGTGTACAAAAGTCTTACATCGTGTAGCATTATATAGTTTGCAAATATTGTTACTGTACATACATATATATATATATATATATGTATATGTGTGTATGTATGTATATGTATACATGTATATATGTATATGTATATATATATATATATACATATATATATATACATATATATATATATATATTTGTATGCATGCCTGCATACATATGTGTTTGTCTATATAATATATATATATATATATATACACACATGCATATGTGATATACATGTGTATGGAGGTGTGGTGAGGGTGTGCTGGGTGTTGGGGGGGCGGGGTTGGGGGGTGTGCTTGGTAGGCTGGTGGTGGGCTGGGGTTCTGGTGTCCTGCCGCATTGGGTGTTTAGCTGGCTCCATGGGTGGGGGTGGGGAGGGTGTGGTGGGAGGCTGGGGTTGTGGTGTCCGGCCACGCATCGGTCTTCAGCTGGCATCCAGGCGGGGGGGGGGTGGGGGGGTCTAGGGGGGTTTGGTCTGGGCTGTGTGCTGAATATGGGCCTGGAATTGTCGGGATGTGGGGTGTGGTGGCCTGGGGTGTGGTGGCTTTGGAGCCGAATAGGAGAGAAGGGCAGCAGGGGGAGGCTACCTTTTGGTTTTCGTTGGGGAACAAAACTTTCTCAAAGCTTTTTTCAGCATTTTTTCTTCCAAAGTCACCTTTGCCTTGCAAATGCGTTCGGACCCGTTGGAAGCGTTGGAGCATTTCTGCGACCCGTTGGAAGCGTTGGCGAAATGCGTTAAATGCATCAAATGCATACTCGTTGGAAGCGTTAAAAGCGTATGCGTTCAGAATGCGTTCAAAAAGCGTTCAAAATGCGTTCGGTATGCGTTCGGATGCGTTCGCCAAATGCGTTAAAAAAGCGTGGAATACGTTCTCCCCATGAGCCCAGTTTGGGCCCAGTTTTGAGGGCATTTCGGGCCAACTTGGGCTGCCCCAGTCAATCTAGTTCAGTTTTCCTAGGCAGCCAGACACAAACCTCTGCTGTTCCGGGGCGGGGCTGGGACTGCTGTGTCCATTATGAGCAAATATTGCCGCTGGTGAGCATTCTAAATACAGACACACAAACACACACACACACACACACACCGTGTCCCCTATTATGCACATATACATATACATATATGAAACACACACACACACATATATATATATATATACATATTTATATCACACACACACATATATATATATATACATACATACATACACACACAGTTTATCATATATGGTATATATATAATACACACATATACACATACAAACATTTATGTATATACACATGTAAAACATATATGTATATATACACATATATATATATATATTATATTATAGTATATTATATTATATTATATTATATTATATTATATTATATTATATTATTTATTATAATATCTTATCTTATCTTATCTTATGTTATATTATATCATATTATATTATATTATATTATATTATATTATTTATATATTAAAGCCCATCGATCCCTAGACCCGACATGGACCGGTGCTTGGGTCCACGAGCTACAGCAAAACCTTGCAGACCCTCAAGGCCCGAAACCTTAAGCCCCAAGGCCCTAAACCCCTAGCTCCGAAAAGAACACACAAAACAGACTGTGTTGTGCTCCGTGGTTATCCAGAACAACCTCACAAACCTTGAACCCTCTAAAGGTTTTATAAATCATATAGGTCCCAAAAGAACCCACGCCTTCTCAAACCCGAACCCCTTAAATAAATCTTGACCCCCCCCGAACCCTAAACCCTATAAGGACCTCAAAGAACCGAAGCCCTGGCACAACACAGTGTGTGTCGAGCTTTGTGCTCGGTGCTAAAGAGAGAATTGCAGTGCTGCTCAAAAAGGTATCCAATATTGTGCCTCACTGAGACCTCGCTTGCACTGTGGCACGATCACTGCTGCACCGAAAGTTTCGCCATGCCTTGTGTGTGTGTATGTGTGTGTGCAACCCAAGCTTTTCTTTAACACCCCTGCATTTTGCATCTGGGGTGCTTCGATAGCCTGCACATGGCTTCCACTTCCGATGCCTGGGCCGCCAAGATGTCTGTAGAAGACTTGGTCAAGGGGGCAAAGGCAACCGCTGATCTGGCGGGTTTGGAGTTTGCCCTAGACACCTCCTTTCTATCAAGAGAAGCACTGCTGCAGGCCATTCAGGACTGCTTTGCTGCTCTACATCCTAGCCCGAAATCTTGCTGAGATTCCTGTATAATACACGAATCAACCCTGGTCAGGAGTGCAAGATGATCTTGAGAAAAGGATGCAAGGTCTCAACCTCTGTTGGTCCTGCCTGCTTCAATACAAAGCACGACCAGAGAATCAACAAAAGCATTTGATTGCGATCGCCAACTTTCCAGGCTACAGCAGCACCGAGCCCCCTTCTCGCTGTCAAGAATGAGCCGGTTAAGGCGGAACCAATTGAGATGCAGCAGACACAAGCAGCTGAGTATTGACTGCACTGGTTTCGTCAAAGTGTTTATCCTTCTCTGGTCCTTCTCTCTCTTCCCCCCTCGCTCTCTCTCTCTCTCTCTCTCTCTCTCTCTCTCTCTCTCTCTCTCTCTCTCTCTCTCTCTCTCTCTCTCTCTCTCTCTCTCTCTCTCTCTCTCTCGCTCTCCCTCTCTCTCTCTCTCTCTCTCTCTCTCTCTCTCTCTCTCTCTCTCTCTCTCTCTCTCTCTCTCACTCTCTCTCTCTTTCTCTCTCCTTGCTTCTTTTGCTGCTGAGGATACCCAGCAGCTGCCGCCCCTGCTTGCTCAGCCGGTGGCTGCATCTACTGGCATCCAGGAATTCGCTTTCCCTGTGTGCCCTGAACCCAAAAAAAACCCGACCTTCAACCCTAAACTTCCCTTTTGCTCGTCAGGACACCCAGCTGGAGCAGGACACCTTCGCTGCCGCACCTGAGACCGCCGCCGAGGATATCGGGGTTTGCACTTCTACTTCACACCCCTAATTAAGACCCCTATATAGACTCTATATAGACCCGAAAGTATATAGCAGGTATATAGTATAGGGATGTTGAATAAACAAAAGCACAGCTTACCGTCTGCTGTGCAACTCTCGCTGTGCACGAATCGCTGATATCTTATCTTAACCCTTTAAACACCCTAAGCCTTAAACCGAATGATAATCCCTACGTAACTCCCATAAACAGTTTGAGGAGCTGCAGAAGTCAGGGCCTTCGAGCCAACGGATGTTTGCAACTATACAGGTCGATGCAAGTCAGGGCCCCGATAGCCAGACCACGGAACCCGGTTCTCCAGAAGCCAAAGCACCGAATCTGCAGCCCCAAGCGAAAAGCCCACCGACACCCTTGCAGGCCCAAGCCAAGAGCCCAGCAACACCCGTACAGGCAAAGAGCCCGCCGCAGACACCCGTGCAGACCCTGGCCCAAGCGAGCAACCCACCGTCCGTGCAGCAAACTCAGAGCCCGCCGACACCGGCCCCAGCAAAGAGCCCACCGTCCGTGCAGCAAACTCAGAGCCCGCCGACACCGGCCCCAGCAAAGAGCCCACCGACACCGGCCCAAACAAAGAGCCCGCAGACACCGGCCCCAGCAAAGAGCCCGCAGACACCGGCCCAAGCAAAGAGCCCACAGACACCGGTCCAAGCAAAGAGCCCGCCGACACCGGCCCAAACCAACACTCCAGTGACACCTGTGCAGGCAAAGACTGGCCCGCCGACAATCGTGCAGGCCCAAACAAGCCCGGTGCAATCCAGCCCGCCGAAGCAATCTCCGCCCACGCCATCAGCAGCAGGCACACCGCCCGGCCAAACAAGAAACCCAAGCATCCCTGGAGCCTGCACCGACGTTTCGCTGTTGCAGGCAAAGATCAAGGAGCTGGAGCAACAGCTTGCAGCAACAAAAGCAGCACCCCCGAAACAAGTGCCGTGCCAAACCCCGCAAAACCGAATCCGATCCAAAGGCCAAGCGAGCCCTGCAGCTACTTCAGCCCAAGCAGCAGCACCAGCACCAGCTGCCGTCGCAGAAGACGAGGATGAGGAGGAGCCAGAGGAACAGGACGATCAAATCGGCAAGGTCATGGTGACCTCGCCAGACGGCACCATCGTTGCTTGATAGACTGGGGCTTAAGGCAAGATGTGGTTCAATTGGCTTCAAGTTCGGGTTTGGAATTGTTGGGGCTTTTGTTTTGACCAACCCTAACACCCTGTATAAACCTTGTAGGATATGTCTAATATAGTTAAGGGGTTTAGGGGTTTAGGGTTTAGTATGTATATATATATATATATATATATATATATATATATAGTTGTGTTATATCCTTAAAAAGCCCCAAACCCTAAACCCCTAAAGCCGAAACCCTATATAGGATCCTCAGGTCTTGACCCAAGATGCATTGAGAATGCGGTTAAAGAGGATGTGCGAGCAAAAAAAGAAATCTCACAAGTGTCATGTCGACAATGAAACTCACGAGCAGTATGCCAGTGGAGGGCCACAGCGAGAGTGGCTAGAGATGGCACTGCTAGAAGCATTGCAAGATGTGGGAACGGTTGCACTGGGACGTGGCAAGGCAGCCCACAAGCAAGTTCAGGCACCTAGCTTGCATGCACAAGTTATGAATTTCAGGGTTTATGGTTTCGGATTCTGAGGGCTTTCCAGCAAAGCCCGAACCCGTGATCCCAGAACCCAAACCCTTGAAAAGGCTCATATATAACCTTCTCGAAGCACTTAAGCACCTAGCCTGAAACTCCCCAAGCCGCCAAACACCATAGGCCTGATTCTCCTTGTGCTCCGGATTCTTGGCCAAGGCATCCTTCAAGGTCAGGGTGACACAGATTCGAGAACGCCAGATGCTCAAGGAGTCCGAGACGAACGGGGAATGGCTCACGGAGGAAAAAATGAACAAATCGGGTGAATACAGCAAGCTACTAGGCTTGATGATCTTTGTGCTTGCAACACCATTGAATGCAAGCGACACATGCAAGCAACCCAACCTAAGGCAGACCATCAAGTCGATCATTGCATTCTGTGAGCGATTTCCACAGATCTTGACGAGGCTCTGGTTCATGGATGTATCAGGATATCACAAAAAAAACATCACTCCTCAAACCCTGTGAGCGCCGAGACCCCCCCCAAATCCAACAAGTCCTATACGAAAGCCCTAAAACCCTAAACCCGCCAAACCCCCTCCCTCCCTCTCTCTCTCTCTCTCTCTCTCTCTCGTCCTCCTCTCTCTCCTCTCTCGCTCTCTCTCTCTCTCTCGTCTCTCTCTCTCGTCTCTCTCTCTCTCGTCTCTCTCTCTCTCTCTCTCTCTCTCTCTCTCTCTCTCTCTCTCTCTCTCTCTCTCTCTCTCTCTCTCTCTCTCTCTCTCTCTCTCTCTCTCTCTCTCTCTCTCTCTCTCTCTCTCTACACATATTATATACACCCACAAAGCCCTATAAAACCCTAAATCCCCCAAACCCTTTATAAAACCTTTCGTGCTTGACTACAGGAAATGGAAGTACGACAACAGTGTAACGGAGTACTTCGTTGAGATTTCGACAAAACAGACCATCAAGCACAGCGAGCTGCTGAAACGCATCGAGAACATGGATCTTGGAGATGCCCAGCTGCATTGGGACGGCGATAGCATGAACCTGGGTTGCAGTCACTTATGCTACTGAGGAACAAAATCCTGGCGACATGCCGATGTCCCTGGATGCACCTGCTATGGTGGACGAAAGCAGTGCACAGCCGAAGCCAGAGCAGGTGGGAGACAAGGCCATGGAAGTTTGAGATTAACAATCCCTATAACCTTAAACCCGATAAAACATACACCCTGCAGCTGACTTATAAACCTTTTATTGCTGCAGACTCTGCCCGACCTTGTGAAGCTGATGGATTCCGTGCATGGCCACATGGCTTCGATCGCCAAGCTGCAGAAAACGATTTCCGATTCCGAAGATGGTGCTAAATTGCCCCCGGCCAAAGCGGAGACACTTTGGCTATAGAGTTAACAAGTTCCGTCAAACAGTTTTCCTGCATGTGTTTGTGCCCACGTTTCAAGAACTCGCTGCCTAAGTCTGATGAAAGACCTGGACCGCATCGATAAATCCTTTCAAGATGCCTTCAATGAGCTGGCGAAAGTGAAGGCCGAGCTAATGATTTGCGAATCGGAAACGATGACCCCCGAGCTTCTCAGATTGCCATTGTGCTAAGCCCCGAATTCCAAAACCTACATCCGCAGAATCTTATAATCCCGAACTCAGCCCAGGTGCCTGCAGAAGGTGATCAGTGCCAAGGACACCATCAAG